TCATAATAGACACTGAGAAAAACAATTTAAATACTGATTCATGGTGTTATAGCTTTGGCTAATTTTAGTTTAAATCATGCATCACCGAAACAATATTATCAAAGCACTTTAACTACAGGCAAAACATGTTTTTAAAATAATAAACAAATCTTCTAACATCTATAATTCTAGACATAAGTTTTCAACTAGTTTCTTTAAAAAAAAAAACTTTCAGCAGCTACAATCAGGTATGATCATATCAGATGCAATGATCATCACAACAATAATCCTCAATTAGAACTGCTTTCCATTAGTTCTGAAGATCTGCATTATTGTTCATTCTCTGAGTTAGCACTATTTTGCAAATACATGACATGATAACGAACATTATCACAATAATATACCACCTCCATACAATTAAGCCCTGAAATCAGATTTTAAAATAGATGGCACAGGCAGACGCATTCTCACGCATTAATTCAGAACAATTTTATAAACCACCTATTGAGACACTGGAGAGAGTGCCAAAACGGAAAGAGTCTCACCATCGTATAGTTTATTTTGTTTACTGTCATCTTTTTTTAATTAATGTCATCATTTTATTTTGCTTTATTTTTTTAATAAACAAAGTTATAGATGGACACAATATATTTATTTTGTTTATTTTCATGTGGTGCTGAGGATCGAACTCAGTGCCTCGCATGTATGAGGCAAGCGCTCTGCCACTGGGCCACAACCCCAGCCCACTGTCTGTCATCTTTAAGAGATTAAAAACAAGACCAAAAAAGGAAGAACTGCACTAAGGAATCAGGACTTTATTCTAACTGGGCCCAAAAGCCACTGCAGAATTTTAAGCATAGGACTGTCATGATCTGGCTTAAGTTGTTAGAAGGCCACTCAGGAGAATGGCCATTGTGTAGAGACAGAAAGAAACCCAAAGAGAAGGTTAATATAGGAACTTAAGCAAAAAATGGTTGGCTTAGAGTAATGACAGATTCAGTATCAGAATCTTAGTGTCGGGCTGGGGATGTGGCTCAAGCGGTAGCACGCCATGCCTGGCATGCATGTGGCCCAGGTTCGATTCTCAGCACCAACCACATACAAACAAAGATGTTGTGTCCGCTGAAAACTACAAAATAAATATTAAAAAATTCTCTCTCTTTTAAAAAAAAAAAAAAAAGAATCTTAGTGTCAAACAGTCTTGACTTTGGGCCCTTTTACAAACATTTGTTTCCTTAGGGAAATTATTTATACTCTTGGAGCCTTAGCTTCCTTATTTTGCAATGCTTGTGAAACCTTAGCATATACAAAACAAAGAATAAAATTATTATGATAATACTTTGCTAATGAACTCGATTGAAGGGTTTGGACAAATTGACTTCTTTCCCCCTTGCACAAACATTAACCTCAATATAAGTAATTTTTAGCAGGGTCCAAGTGCAATCATACAAGTACTGCATTGACATCCTCAAGAGACAAGCTCCTGTTTCTTCCAGAACTCACACTAAAACAAGTGCTCATAAGAGTACACCTAGAAAGGTGTTTTTCTCAAATTAATAAAATAAGTCTAGTTTGCACGTTCAGTTTGTGTTTTCACTTGCATTCTTTTACTTCCTCAGTGTATGAGCAAAAAGGATATATGCAAAATCTTGTCATTACATCATGATAAAGCTCCTGGTGTTACTACCAGTTACTTTAAGTTCTCCTTTTAATTCTCAATAGCTTTTATCTATAATATGGGATAGCATTCCTCATTCTTACAGCATTGGAACATCAGGAAATCCAATACCAAAAGTTCTTCTTTATAAGTACACGAATTATAAACTTTCATCCTTTAGTAACCTCCCTCTGTATTTAATATTCTTTCAACAAAGGATAAGCCACCTTGAAAATTTACTACCATATTCACTCAAAATTTACTTCAAATTTAAAATTTACTCAAAATTTAACAAGGGCTATGTGCAAGACAATGTGCTAGGACCATGGGAGGACAAAGGTTAGTGTTTAATGAGGAGATTCAGTATTTACACAAGAACAGAAGGGAGTCATGCAGACAGAAATACAAGTATTAAAACTATCTGAGCACAGTGGCACACGCCTGTAGTCCCAGTGACTCGGGAGGCTGAGGCAGGAAGACTGCAATTTCGAGACCAGCCTTAGCAACTTAGCAAAATCCTGTCTCAAAATAAAAAATAGGAAGGGCTAGGGATGTGGCTCAGTGGTTAAGTGCCCATATTCAAGCCCTGATAACCTCCCCCCCCCAAAAAATCAACAGAATAAAATAATGAACATCTGATGTACTCATCACTTAACTTCACTAATTACCAACTCCTGGCCAATCTTTTTTATAGCTTATATGTCCTATTATGTGAAAATCCTAAAGAAGTCTATTTTCATACATGTCTACATTCCTCACTAACTCCATTTTCAAGACAAATCTATAGTGCCACAGCAGTCTCCACAGGTTGATTTTTCCTGAAGGCCACATACAAGTAAGTAAAATGCAAGTCTTTTTTTTTTTTTTTTAATCAATTCTTGATTTTTTTGCACAAGCCAAGGGAAGAGTAACATAGATGCTACAAAACTACAGATAATCTAAAAAATGAGTTTACATATATACTTTCTGAAATACATTTCTATATTTATATTTCAATTTAAACAGGTAAAATACAGAATTCATGTTAAACAAAAGAATGAATCACAGGTGAAATGCTCTGGCCATTTCTTTGATCTTCTGAGACTGTTTTCTCTTATATAAAATAGGAAAATATGCTCTTAGGGACTTGGGAGAATTAAATTTAATTCTGAGTGCTAACTCAGAGAATGAACAATATATTGAATGCCATGTTTGTACAGCTCTTTATATTGTTGTCTGGTTAACTCAGAAAGAACTAGGAAGCTGTCCAGTTTTCCAAACCCCTCCCCTGTATATCACCTTCTCTCAATATGATGTAAAAAAAAACGTTCTCCATCTCAAAACATGCTAGATGCCAGGGGTTAGCTAAACATCCTGATTTTTGAGGCGCTCCACTGCCTGTAACCTAAATAAAGGGAATTGAGATCTGAAGAGTTTTCAAATAAAATTATCAAACTTCACAAAGTAACTCCCCTTTAACTAATAGACCCAATCCACATTACATGGAGGTGGTGTGTTGCTAATCTACAGTAAAAACACTTTCCCCATTTCTCAACCACCCATGACTTCCATACAATACAGCAAGAACAAGGCAGCCATGAGAACTCTCGCTTGGGCCAGAGTAGGAGAAGCTCTAGATGAGTTACCATGAGGCATGACAGAATCACCTCCAGCTTCAGTTCTTACTCCATCCACAAGAATGCTTGAACTGAAACCTTGCGTTTCACACCACCTGCTCCTGACATGCAGCTCAATGCTGCTCAAAACTATTAAATAAGTTTGTCTTTTTAAAATACTATACAGTCACAACTCTAAAATTTTAATTCTTGAAGAGTTCCTTCTTTTCAATCTATTATTTTCTTGAAATTGTGTATACATTTTTAAGTTCCCTTTTGAATTATTATCTTCAATCACTAATAACCCTCTTTCCCCTATGTGAGGATACAATAAGTTCTTGATTTATCATAACCCCAAACACTACAAATCATCCATTTGGTTAAAGCTTTCTACCCAAAACCATTCTTTATATTCAGACATTACCGTTTTTTTCATGTTTCCCTATGATAATTACAATTTAGTTATAATTATGGCACTTTGCAATTAAAAAGAGCACTTCATAAAGGTATTCATTTAATCCTTTTAACTTGTGAAAAAAGGCAATTCCCCTCTTTTATAGATGAGGAAAAGGGAATGAAGAACCCACTAGCTTGCCCAGTTACAAAACAAGTTAGAGGGTGAACCTGACCTCCAAATCAGGTCTTCCAACTCCAAATGTCCTACACTTCCCATTCTTCTATGCTCTTTTCTAAGAAAGGAAGTCTGCCATTCTGTCCCAAACTGCATGTGCTTCAAAGAATAAAACATCTTCGAACAGTCTCTAGACTGCAACCAGAATTCCCATCCCCACACCTCCAATCATCTATTCCTTACCTCCTCACCCTCAAGCCATTACTTCCTTCCCACCACACAATTTCCATACTTCACTCCCTTCCTTCCTTCCACTCCTTCTGCAGATTATTCCACCTTGGCACGCAAAAAGGAGGGCCTCTCTTCCCGCTTGCCCCCAACCCTGGCACTCCCTTATCAGGAAATGCATGCCCCTAAACTGCAAGGACGCATCGTAAGAGTAAGACACGAATGAGCTACTTGATAAAAGTCCCACACAAATGGGCATAACTTGCAGGTCCTCCATCTCCGTATATGGCCTGGGGCACAAGCACACCTAAAATCCCTAAGAACACAGGAGCAACCCTTACAAAGACGCTGCCCACACCCTACCGCCACCAGAAGGTGGTCATCCAAACAGGCCCCCCTTCCAACTCCTCTCTATCAGGTGCCCACTCCTGAGCCTCTGGCCACCTTACCAACTCCCCCTTAGCTCTGGATGCCAGAGCTGAACAGCAGCCCCACAGACAAGACGGCTGCTTCTCTCTCACAACTTGGAAGTTCTGCCTCTTATCACCTGTTCTCACGGAGCTCCCTCTCGGCCCGGGGCCCACCTTTGCCCCGGCCCGCCTCTCTCCGCCTCTCGATTCCCGCGGCCCAGTGGCCACCCCAGGTCAGTTCCGGGGTGCCGGACGGATTCAACTTCCTATCCGCAGAGATTCCCACTCCCGGGGTCACACTCCCCTTCTCCATCACCTGCTCCGCCCATGGCCAAATGACATCCGCCGTGGCCGCCTCCATCCCCCTCCCCGGACGCCGGGTCTCCCCGGCCGCTCGCCGCGGTCCCCGCGCGCGAGCCGCCCCTCCGCCGGGGGCCAAGGGGGCGTGCACCCCCAGCCCGCGGCCCAGCGCGCACCTGTTCCGCCTGCTCTCCCCCCCGCGCGGCGGCGCGCGACCCCCACCCACGCCGCGCCCCGGCCTCCCGGAGCCCCGCACTCACCACGAGTAGGTCTGCTCCGCCATGGCGCTGACGCTCGTGGGCTCCGCCGCAGGCAGTGGCCGAGCCCCGCGGCGGCGGGCTCGCTCGCTCGCTCGCGCAGGGAGCGGAAGGTGCAGCCGGGGCCCGGAGCTTGCTAGCTCGCTCGCGGGCGGGCTCGCACGGCGGGCCGGGAAGGCGGCTGGCGGGGAGAGGCCGGGCTCCGAGGCGGCCCCGCTCCCTGGGCCCCGGGGCGGGGCGGGCTCCGCTCTCGGCCTCCCTCACCCGCGGCGGCGGCGGCGGCTCCGCTGCGGCTCTAAACCCAACATGGCGGCGGCGGCGGCGCGGAGAACAAGGGGGCCCCGGGGCGGGCGAGCGGCAGCACGGGCCCGCGCTCAGCGAGCTGCGGGCTGCGGGAGCGCCGCGCTCGGGCGGCGGCGGCGGCGGCCGGGGGACATGGCCGGCGGGCCGAGGCGGCGGCGGCGGCGGCTGAGGGGGGCGCTAGGCGATGAGGCGAGGCCTTTCGGATCACACCCGCCGATGGGAGGAGGGAGGAGGCGGGGGCGAGCCTGGGCCCCGCGCGGGTCACGTGCCCAAAACACGCTCACGTGACGCTCGCCCCGCCCCTCGCGCCCGGCCCATGCGCGGAGACGTCGGCTGTTGGTTCCAGGCGACTAGGGCACCTACAGCCTCTGGCGGACGGACGCCTGCCGCCGCCGCGTGCGGCCGCCGCGCCCCAAGCGCAGCTGTCGCCCAGAGCCCCCCTTTTCCCGCCCCTTCCCGAGGTACTACAGCACCAGCCAATCGGGAACCGCGGTGCGCGTCCGTTGACTGCCACTCAGCTGTCAACCTTCAATCGACAGCCTGCTGCCCGCGGGTCCCCAACTGTCAGGTAGCCTGTCGGGCGCAGGCTGAGCGCTGCCTTCGCCCCTTCCTAGTTCATTGTTTCCGTCATTCATTTAGCAAATGTACATGCAGCCAAACTTTATTGCGCCCAGGCTCGGTGCCAAGTAAAATACCCTAGGCTTGTCTTCATGTACCCAGTCAACAAATATTTATTGGGTGTCAACTATGTGTCAACTCGTTCTGCTTGGTCTCACCCTCCAGGTGATTATATTTGAGAGGAAGGGACACCATCCAAGCCGATGCATAAATGAGGACAATTTCACATGAGTTTTAAGGTGATACTACATTTTAGGTAATGGGTCAAAGAGTGACTACTTAGTAGATGAGGTGGTCAAGGAGGGCCTCGCTGAGGAGGGTACATTTGAGATGACATTTGAAGGATGAGAACATCTAAAGATCCCAAGGAAGGAAGAGAGTTCTTGGCAGAAGGAATAGCAAGAGCAAAAGCTCAGGAAACTGCCCACCTGGAGGGCAGGAAGCAGGCAAAGAAGTAAACATAACAGAGCTAGACCCCAAACCAACAGTGAATCCTAGGATTAGGGGAAGAGAGAACGGAGCCATGAGTTGAGGCTCCTGCACTGGGAAAAGTTTTCTCAGAAGTGAGTGGGGCAGGCCAGCTATGATGGCACATGCCTGTAAACCCAGCAACTGGGGGAGGCTGAGGCAGGAGTATCACAAATTTGAGGCCAGCCTCAGCAACTAAATGAGGCCCTGAGCAACTTAGTGAGACCCTGTATCAAAAAAAAAAAAAAAGGATGGGTTCAATCTCTAGTCCCCTCCACTCAAAAGTGAGTGAGGCAGACTGAAATCCTGAGAAGCTTACCAAGAAGAGACAAGGGCATGAGGCAAGGCTTACAGATGTGAAGTTCGCTGTGAGCTTGGTTCCCAGGCATGGGACGGATGATTTGTGCTATGAATTACTGAGAAAAGAGACAAAGTCTGGTGCATTAAGGCCAGACTTTGAAGGGCCTAGCCAAGTCTCCCTTCTATTGTGAATGAGGGGAAAACAGACATGCTAGTCCTCTTGGACACCCCCACCCCTCCCTTAACAGAGAGCAAAGCTCACACACCTAAAACCAGCATACCCAAGTGCCTCTGCAGCTTGCCCAACTTTAGGCCAGGATCTAGCTCTGCTCCAGTTTCCCAGGGCCTGCCCAAACTTACCCGGAACACCACACCCTGACTCTATCTCCAAATGGATCAGTTGGCCATTGCCCTACAACTGCTGCTTGCCTGTCCCCGAGAGGGAGGAACCATTTAGTGACAGAGCCAAGTACACTCTTCCTTCAGTTGCAAGCTCTCTGTCTTCCTCCTTCCCCAACTGCCAGGTGCCAGGACCAGTCAGGTTCAAGGTGTTTCCTATGAAGCTCCACCAGAGAGCCCTGGGAAATGGCCGGCTGATAAGATCAAGGTTCTAGGAGAGCTTGAAGGGGGTGGGGGCAAGAAAATACTTAACCATCAGGGACCCTTCCTCTCACCGTTAACACAGAGATACCAGCCTGCAAAAACCTGCCCAGCCATAAAACTGCATGCTATGAGGAGACCAGAAGGCAAAGGACCTAAGTTCTTGACATTGATGGAGTTGGTACAATATTGCCAGGTGCATTTTCAGTCAACTGGTGCTCTTGAACATGACTTGTAGTTGTTCTAAGTCTTGAAGGGGCTTGAGTGAAGCTTTAGGTCCCATGGGAAAGACCTGCAGAAGCGCCTTCTCTGAGGAGCTAAGAACAAAACAGAGCAGACACGTCATTAATGAAACAAAAATGACACGGGGAGCCTGGGCGATTCACCTGGGCTTTGGTTCCCAGTGAGTCATAGAAAGCGAAGCCAAAGGACACGTTGGTATTGGGTGGATGCAACAGGAGAAAAAAATCTGGTGAAAGAAAGGAAGGAGAAGGTGTGGAGGAAAAGAAGGAGAAGCATTTTCTCCTCTCCATCTACACCAGAGACTCCCCAGGTGTCTCTTGGGGAAACAGAGGCTCCAGGGCCTGGTCAAGCTTTCTACAAGTTTGCAGTTCCCCGAGAAAGCCAGGCTGGAATAAGACTGACCAACAGTCCGCCGGTTGGATGGGCAGCGGGTGGCACTGGTGGGAGAAATTTAGTCCTTCTGCCAGCCCCAAGCTGGAGCAGCCCCAGGTGTATTCGTGGCACTGCTGGGCCTCAGCAGACAGCCAGTGTGCCTGGCAGGAGATGCAGGCCTGGGCGCCCCCCAGGAGGGGTGACCTGGTCTCTTCCTCCCCCACTCCCCAGGTGAGAGGGCCGCAGCTTGTGCATGTTTGTTGAAAGAGGCCCTGGAAGCGGCTCTAATTATCACGGTGGTAATTATAGGCTGGGCTCTTCTACCCAGGGTGTTCAAAAGAGACCTGGGGAGTCTCCCTGAGACGTGTCACCTGCCTGAGGCAGACTCCCAGGAGAGATGTTGCCAGTTCTGGTTGGGCTACTTCGCACTGCTTCTGAGAGAGCCAAAGACTCAGGTTTGACCTGGACACCACTTGTCCCTCCAGCCCACTCCCCTCTGTGCACCCCCCTCTCCACATGCACAGGTGGGCTGGTTTGGTATTTTTTGTTTTGGGGGGGTTTTTTGCTTCCAGATCTCTGAACACATGCAAGAGGCTTTCCTATTGTGCCCCCTCTTTGTTCTTTTTAGATGTGCCTGACAGTAGAGTTTATTTGGAGATATTAGACATACATACTTATTAGGATCCCATTCTTGTGGTTGTACATGATGTGGAGTTTCACTGGTCGTGTATTCACATATGAACATAGGAAAGTTATGTCCAATTTATTCTATGTCTTTCCTTTCCCCATCCTCCCTCCCTTCCCTTCATTCCCCTTTGTCTAATCCAATGAATTTTTATTCTTTCCTCTCCCCACCTTATTGTGTATTAGCATCCACGTATCAGAGAGATCCTATGGCCTTTGGGTTTGGGGGATCAGCATATTTCACTGAGTATGAGAGTCTCCAGTTCTATCCATTTACTGGCAAATGCCATAATTTCATTCTTCTTTATGGCTGAGTAATATTCCACTGTGTATATGTACCACAGTTTCTGTATCCATTCATCTATTTTTTAAAAGATTTTTTTAGTTGTAGATGAACACAATATCTTTATTTTATCCATTCATTTTTATGTGGTGCCGAGGATCATACCCAGTGCCTCGCACATGCTAGGCAAGCGCTCTACCACTGAGCCACAACCCCAGCCCTCCATTCATCTGTTGAAGGGCACCTAGGTTGGTTCCATAGCTTGGCTTGAGCTGCCATAAACATGGATGTGGCTGTGTCACTATAGTATGCTGATTTTCAGTTCTTCAGGTGTAAGCTGAGGGGTGGGATAACCCAAACAGTGGTTCCATTCCAAGTTTTCTGAGGATTCTCCATACTATTTTCCATAGTGGTTGCACCAATTTTCAGTCCCATCAGCATCCTATTGCCTCTAAACTGGGGCTTGCCTTCAATGTCACATCCTCCAGGAAGTCTGACTCGACTCAACCTAGGCTGGGTTAGATACTCCTCGCCTGTGCTCCTGTCCCGCCTCCTGGTAGCACTTAACACAGCGCACTATTGTTGTGTGTTTGCTTATCGTTTTCTCCCTCAGATTGTGAATGTTTGTGGGACAGGATGGTGGCTTGATGCCAGTTACCTCCCTGGTGTCCAGGATAAGACCCAGCTCAGAATAGAAACTTCAAATTTGTGGAATGAATGAGCGTGAGGGAGAAGGCAAACCAGGACGCAGAACAGCCACTTTCGCCTGAATTGTATTCAGTATCTGCTTCTGTCCCCAGCTCCCTCCCTGACTGAGAGAGAGAATCCTTTAGGACAGAGAAATCTCTCTATTAGTGACTTTATGGGAAGAGAGAAGATCAGAAGTAAGGTATGTGGTGAGCTTATTAGACATCAAGTCACTTGAATTCTTTGAACATGGCTTTTTAAAAAAATGTTTTTTGAAAGCAGTTTTAGGCTTACAGAAAAATCGATGGAAAAGTACAAAGAGTTCCTGTGGTCCCTCTCCTCCGACACACAATGTCCCCTATTATTTGCATCTAATATTAGTGTGGTACATTTGTTACAATCAATGATCCAATAATAATAGTTCACTCTTTGTGTAGCATAGCCAGTGGTTTGGACAAATGTGTAATGGTGTCATACAGATGTCATACAGATTAGTCTCATTGCCCTAAAATTCCTCTATGTAATAGAGTACTGTGGCACATGCCTGTAATCCCAGCAACTTGGGGTGCAGAAGGATCACAAGTTCAAGGCCAACCTCAGCAATTTAGCAAGGTCCTCAGCAATGTGGCAAGACCCTGTCTCAAAATCAAAAAGGGGCTGAGGATGTGGCTCAGTAATAAAGCGCTCCTGAGTTCGATCCCAGTATCAAAGGAAAGAAAACCCACTTAGATTTTGCCTATTCATCCCTTCCCCAAACCCTAGCAACCCCTGATCTTTTTATGGTCCATGTTTTGCCTTT